GCCAAGGCAAGAAATGCACTCGGAAAAAAGTCATTTATTTTCTTCATTTTATCTTCTTTTTGACTGTTTTCTATTAAAATTACATTAAATAGTGTTAGCAAATTGTAATAGGATATTTGTTAACGCAGACTAATATAGTGAGGTGTTAATATGATAGTTAGTGGGACACTGTAAACAAAAATTAAATAAAAATCAACACCACATTAGAAAAAGGAGCCACGAGAAAAGTTGTGTAAGTCAAACTATTATCAATTAAATTTACTCTTGATATTTGCAAACCTATGTCATCATGAGCGAATATTTTTTAAGTTATAAAATCATTAGATCATGAGTGAACCCAGGGTCATCGAGCATTTATAATATAAAGCCTTGCGTTTGATCTTGAACATATACAACGAGCACACAAGGCATGTAAATGCAAAATTACTGAACAAACAAAAATACTTTTATCTATTTTCAGAGGTTATTTCAAATTAGCAAAACTATTATTGAACCATACATGAATAAAAATGATAAACCTATTAAAAAGACTCACAACCAATGAGTAAAGGATATGTCACGTGGTGAATAAAATGTGAAAGATAGCAGATTAAGTGAAAACTCACTAATCAACAACTACCTCCTGTAATTAAAGGAAAAGACTTACCTACCCTCGTGACCTCATAAGAAATCCATAAATAGGCATAGTTGAGATAAAGAAGGATATAAAAATTGATACTCTCCTTTCAAATAGTCATTTTTCTTCTAGCTCATTTTTAAGTGAAATTCAAGTCAGTTTAGGGAAGAAAAAATCTATTTAGATGAAAGGAATATATTAACCTCAATTTCGAGGTCAATAATTTCATGTTGTTTGTGGGAATTCTGGAATGAAGATAACCACGATCCCAATCATTCTTGAGTAAAAAAGCTACTGTAAAACTATTCGAAAATGAGTCAATCAAAGATAAATTTGATCAAGTTAGAAACACTGGAGATCGGAATGGAAGTTCCAAGCGTAAACCGCGAGGATAACAACATTAATCCAAAGAGGCAGTGAGAGAATCCCCTTAAAAGTAGCCTACACGAGTTCCCCATTGAAACACCGTCGCCAAAGCAAAAATATTTCCACCGTTCGAACAATATAAGAGATGACTACAATCGAAAAATGCCAAGCATTCATTTAACACTAAGTGGCTCAGCAAAGAAGTAGTACAATAAGCTTACAACGGAATCAATCAAAAGATGGTCACAACTAAAACAAGCTCCCCATGAATTTTACATACTATGAAGTCTCGCACTGAAGCTCGAGAGATGCATAATTTATTGGCTCGAAAAAGGTAATCCTTCTCAAGGCGAAAGCTATCCGCAGTATCCGATCGTCCTCCTTGCAAATCAAGAAAGATATTTATAAAACCGGGACATGTCGCATAATCCTCCTTAAGTCGTTCAAAACCTATGACCTTGACGCTCATAACCGACAAAGGGAGATACGACGACTTAATGCATTAGCCACTTGGTTCTCAACACCCTTCTTATGTTTCAAAACAAAAGCATAGGCCTGCAAATATTCAATCCAATGACCATGTCTAGAATTCAACATTTTCTAGACGGTGAGATGACGGAGGGTCTCATGGTCTGAATAAAGAACAAACTCTTGTGGTAGCAAATAATGGCGCCAATGGGGCAAAGCATGTACAACTGTATACAATTCCTTATCATAAGTCAAGTACCGTTATTTAACATCATTTAACTTCTCACTGAAATAAGAAACATGGTGGCGTTCCTGAGTAAGAACTCCACCTATTCCTACCCTGGAGGCATCACGCTCTACCTCAAAAACTTTGGCAAAGTCAGGAAGGCGCATGATATGAGCTTTCGTAATTCGCTTCTTAACTAGCTTAAAGCCTTAGTCATTTCTTGCGTCCAATGTAACTTTCCTTTTTTTTCATGCACTCCGTAATAGGAGCCATGATTGTGCTAAACCCCTTGATGAAGCGACAGTAAAAGGTAGCTAAGCCATGACAGCTCCGACGTCATGTATAGTCTTAGGCTTAAACCAATCAACTATTGTCTGAATCTTGGCAGGGTCAGTAGATACCCCCGTAGAGGATACCCCGGATCCAAAAACTTGTCACGCGTTTTCTACAACGTGAATTTATGCCGTAAGTGTACGTCGTCAAGTTTTGTAATATAATGATTGAGTTAAGAGTGTCGAACCCACAGGGATTGTAATTCAATTTCTATCAAATACTATAATTGTATAACTTCTATTTTATTTAGACAAATGATGAATGGTTGAATGATTGTTTTAAACTAATCAAAAGTAATATGCGACGGCAAAATTGTAGAATATAAAATTATCAAAATGAGAAAGCCTAGGGAATAATTTCACCAACTTTCAATTATGATTCAATGACATCAAATTATTCCAATTAATTTTCTCATATTTAAAAACAAGAATCCAATTGTATTTCTCTCCCCTCTCTCGAGTGCCGGCTATAAATTAATCCTAAAATTCAATCTCAATATCTCTATTCCGAATTAAAGCCTAGAATTTATCAAAGTCCCGATTCTTTTGTAGAGTAAGTTTCACAGATTTTACACTTTCTCTCGAAACCCATAAAACCTACGTTGTGTCAATCTTATGATCACGCCTAAATTCCCCTCTCTCGAGTGCCGGAATTGACTAGTATCTATTCATTCAATTATTGATCAAGTAATTGAAAGCATTATAATCGTAACACAATTAAATATAAGTGGAAAATTCCAAAAGAAATAATTCATGTATTCATCAAACCATAATCTCAAGTGGCTACATCAAACCCTATTTAAATTGTCTAGCTCATGAAATAGAACATGAAATCCATACAATTTATAATGGAAAACATAAAATAAAAGGTAAGAAAAAACTATTTTGAAGTGCTAATCGGGGTCCCTTTTATGATTTCCACCATTTCTTCACTTGATTTCTTCAATTCCTTCTTTGTGTTGTCTTTGGAGATTCAATCTTTTTGTATCTTTCTCTCCTTCTTCCCACCTCTAAAATTAGGTCATCCCACTTGTATTTATAGTGTTTTAGAGTTTAGGAACGAATTAGGGTTGAATTGAGTCGGGTCTCATAAAAAAAACGTTTTTTTTTAATTTTACCTGGCGCGCGGCGCCAACTCCTCTATCCCGTTTTCTGTTCTACACGTTTTTCAGCATTTGTATCATAACTTTTTAGGCTGATGTCCGATTGAGATAATTCAAGATGCTTTGGAAAGATAACTCATCTGGCTACAACTTTGATTCAGACCTCATCCTCCAATTCGATCATTTTCTATGTCAAAATTGAGTCTCAATATGAGATTAAAAATTCGGAGCAAAACTTTTTCGGTTGGAATTTGATGTGTGATCATATTTTGAATAAATTTGATCCCTTTAACATATTTCCTTATCCAATTGGCCCTTATCACTCTCAAATCTTCATTGTGAGGTTCGACACAACTTTTAAGTATTTGTACTTTAGTCTTCGAACTTTGGATCTCTTACAATTTAGCCATTTTCTCTAAAATTGTCAACTTCTGCTTATTTTCTTCAATCTCACCAACCTACATCCCAACATCAAAACACACATAAAAACACTCTAAAACTTTCTAAAGGGTAACAAATAATGCATTAAGTGGCATAAATATTATGAGTATGGAGCACTCATCACTTCTTAACTAACTTAAAGCCTTAAGTCACTTCTTGTGTCCAGTGTAACTCTTTTTTTTTCATGTACTCCGTAATAGGAGCCATGATTGTGCTAAACTCCGGCATCCGTTTCTTAACTATTTTAAAAGCCTTAGTTGCTTCATGGGTCCAATGAAACTTTCCCTTCTTCATACACTCCGTAATGGGAGCCATGATTGTGCTAAACCCCTTGATGAAGCGACAATAAAAGGTAGCTAAGCCATGAAAGCTCCGACGTCATGTATAGTCTTAGGCTTAGACCAATCAACAATTGCCTGAATTTTAGCAGGGTCAGTAGATACTCCCGTAGAGGATACAATGAATCCTAGGAAAATAATTCTATCAGTGAAGAGAGAACATTTCTTGACGTTGCATACAATTTTGTCACATGAAGGCCAGAACAAATCTGCTTGAGATGTGCCAGTGTTGTTCCTTAGTTTTACTATAAACGAGAATATCATTAAAGTAGACGACGAGGAACTTAACCATAAAAGGTCGAAGATTCTATGTCATTGCTCTCATAAAAGTACTTAGGGCGTTGGTTAGTCCAAAAGGCATGACCAGTCACTCATAAAGGCAATCTTTCGTTTTAAAAGCGGTGTTCCACTCATCAACGGACAGATCCTAATATGGTGATACCTACTCTTCAAATCAATCTTAGAAAATATTGTAGCATCAACCATCATATCTAACATATCGTCAAGCCTAGAAATGGGGAAGCAATACTTCACCGTGATCCTATTGATGGCACGAATATCTATGGGCATCATCTAAGAGCCATCTTTCTTAAGTGTCAATAGCGTAGGAACTGTGCAAGAACTTCTCACATATGAATCCTTTGTGAATGAGTTCATCCATTTGCCTTTGAAGTTCAGCGCGCTTAGTAGGATTCATCATATAATGAGGCAAATTTGGAAGCGACGCTCTCGGGACCAAATCTATAGCATGTTGGATGTCCTGTAAAAGAGGTAGCTGGTCAGGTAGGTCCTCAGGGAAGACATCTCGAAACTCCTCGCCTGGTCTTCAGGAGGTGCTACTATTAGAGGGTTCAATGGAACCTCCATGACAACCAAGGCAAACA